ATTCAACTTTTTTCGGAATACCCATTTGGTTCCAATGATATTGAACCCTTTTGGTTTGGGAACAAGATCCCACACATCGTTTCTGGTGAATTGGTTTAATTCCTCCTGCATAGCCAGTATCCAATCATTGTCCAGAAGAGCTTCATCAATGGAAGTTGGCTCAATCAGAGACACTAATCCCATGAGAGATTCTTCAGAGTTTCTGAATGTGGATTTTGTTCTGATTGGGTCTTCCTTCTTTCCTAGAGTATTGTTTTCGGGATAGTTAAGCTGCTTATGGATCGTCTTTTCCGGGGAGGTTCTTCAGATGTTGTTGTAGTATTTGTGACATCTTCTTCTGGTGTTGCATGTGATTCTTTGTGAGGAACTTCTAATGCAATGTCTTCAGTACTTGTAAATTGGACTTCTATATCTGCGAAAGATTTATCTAGCTTTGACTTTTCAGAGCCAAGCTTATCATCAAATCTAAAACTAATTGACTCTTCTATAATCCGTGTTTCTATGTTGTATACTCTGTAGCATCTTGAGCATTCAGAGTATCCTAACATACTACACTTTTGTGCTTTATAGTCAAACTTGTTCAGATGTTCTTTAGTATTAAGAATAAAACAAATACATCCAAATGGATGGAAATACGAGATGTTGGGCTTTCTGTTCTTCCACAGTTCATATGGAGTCTACTCCAGAATAGGTCTTATGGAGATTCTATTCTGAATATAAGACGTTGTGTTAATTGCTTCTGCCTAGAAGTTCTTAGAAATGTTAGTCTCGTGATCATGGTTCTGGCCATTTCTTATAAAGTTATGTTCTTTCGTTCTACAACTCCATTTTGTTAGGGAGTTCTAGGACAAGAGAAATCATGAGAGATGCCATTCTCATTAAAAAATAGTTCAAATTTTTTGTTTTCAAATTCTCCACCATGATCACTTCTGAATCTAACAATTCTAATATCTTTTTTGTTTTGGACTTGGTTACAGAAGACAAAGAACACAGAGTGTGACTCGTCCTTGTGTTTTAAGAACTTTACCCATGTCCATCTTCTATAGTCATCTACGGTCACTAATCTATACTTCTTTCCACTAATGGATGTAGTTTTCACTTGTCCAAATAGATCTATATGCAGAATTTCTAATGGTCTAGAGGTAGAAACAACATTTTTTACTTTAAAAGAGGGTTTTGCAAACTTTCCTTTTTGACATGCTTCACACAAAGCATCTGAGCTGAACTTCAGATTAGGAAGTCCTCTGACCAGATTGAGTTTGTTAATCTGAGATATTATTCTCATACTAACATGCCCCAATCTTCTGTGCCAGACCCATTGCTCATCGTTAACAGACAGTAGGCATTTTACATTCTGACTTCTCAGTTCAGAAATTTTTATTTTGTAAATGTTGTTCTTTCTCTTTCCATTAAAGAGGATAAATAGATCCATCTTTCTGACTAACTGCTTTACAAGACTTTTGATTAAAGATTATATCATAACCGTTATCACTTAATTGACTTATGGATAACAAGTTATGCATTAATCCATATACTAACAGAACATTAGTAATAGAAGGAAGATTACTGTTACCAATTGTTCCAGAGCCAATGATCTTCCCCTTCTAATTGCCTCTGAAACCTACGTATCCTCTAGATTTAAGCTCCAGGCTTTGGAACATATGCTTTCTTCCCATCATGTGTCGAGAGCATCCAGAGTCCAGGTACCAGGATTGGTGTTTCAGTCTTGTTGTCAAAGATATCTGCCACATAGACAATTTTATCCTTAGGTACCCATATCTTTTTGGGTCCTTGTTTGTTAGAGTTATCATAATTCTGTTTGAAGGTTTAGCAGAGAAATCATTACTAGTATACTTTAAATCATGTGTGTGCCCATATGTAAAGTGAGAATTTAGAGGAGTGCGTTTAATAACTAAATCCTTAACTTTCTTAGGTTGGGATACTTTACCTTTGTATCTTATACCTTTTCTGCCATTTTTGCTAACTCTTAGATCATTGAAGCCATCTTGCTTCTATGTGTTTTTAGCTAAGAATTTCTGAAAGCTATGATCATATTCCTTTATGATCTTATCAGGGTTACTAGAAACTTCTGAGATAGTTTCCTTCTGAGTATTTTGTAAATCATTTTCAAGTTTTGAAATTTTTTCTTTCAGCTCAAAGTTTTCCAATCTCGGATTCTTAGTTTCTTCAGAGTCAGAAACTAGATTCTTTTCAGGTTCTTGTTTATGACTCGAAGTTTCTGATACCTTTCTATAATTTATGATAAACCCTCTTCTAAATTGAGATCTAGAGAAGTTATAAAATACCTCTTCTGCCTATGAGTCTGATTTTGATCCAGATGATTCAGTATCTTCTAATATGTTGGCCATCAGGGTAATGTTGGCTCTTTCATCTTCTGATTCAGTGTCTGCTTCTGAAGAGTCTGAGTCATACAATGTTGCCATGAGACTTTTCTTCTTCTCCTTAACGAACTTCTTTTTAGGTTTCTCATTCTAAAGCTTTGGACAATCGCTTTTGTGGTGCCCTTGTTCATTGTATTTGTAGCAGACAATGTCTTTGTTTCTTGACTTTCTGTATTCAGAAGATGATTCAGACTTTCTGTATCCAAAAGATGGTTCAGACTTTCTATATCCATATGGTTCAGACAAATTCCCTTTTCTTCTGGAATTTCTGAACTTCCTTTTCCCGTGCTTCCACAGCTGATTGACTCTTCTGGAGAGAAGGGATAATTCTTCTTCTGATGAGGAACCACCAAAGTTTTCTTCTATTGCCTGCAAAATTTTGGAATCATATTTTTTGTTAAATTTAAGAGCTAAAGGCTTACCTTGCTTCTGGGGCTCATCATCTTCTAACTCTATCTCATGACTTCTGAGTGAGCTGACAAGTTCTTCTAAAGATATTTTGTTCAGATCTATTTCCAGTTTGAGAGCAGTGACCATGGGTCTCCAGTTCTTTGGTAAACTTCTGATGATCATCTTTACATGATCAGCAGTTGAGTATACTTTGTCCAGAACTTTTAGCCCAACAACCAGAATTTAAAATCTTGAGAATATTGTTTCAATGGTTTCATCTTCTTCCATTTTAAAGGCTTCATATTTCTGAATGAGCGTAAGGGCTTTGGTTTCTTTGACTTGCGTGTTGCCTTCATGCGTCATTCTCAAGGAATCAAACATGTGCTTTGATGTCTCTCTGTTTGTGATCTTCTCATACTCTGAGTATGAGATGACACTCAAGAGAATAGTTATGGCCTTGTGATGATTTCCGAAGTCTCGCTTTTGATGATTTTACATTCTTTTTCTATCAATCTTCTGACCATTTTCATCAACAGGATGCATGTACCCATCAATCACCATATCCCAGAGATCAACGTCATGAGCGTGAAAGAAACTTTCAATTTTATCTTTCCAGTAGTCAAAGTTTTCTCCATCAAAGACTAGAGGTTTGTCGCTGATTCTGTCTTTCTGATCATGGTAGTAATTGTTGATGTTCTGACTTGGTCCCACCATAGTGTTTTTCTTACCTTGGATCTTTTACAGACACGGTTAAGTGCTTGTACTCAGAACCAGGCGCTCTGATTCCAATTGAAGAATGGAAAAACACAAGAAGGGGGGTTGAATTGGGATCTTAAAACTTAATGAAAAGAACAAGTGATTTTTATCCTGGTTCGTTTGAACTCAAACTACTTTAGTCCACCTGCCAAGGTGATTTCGTCTCTCTCCAACGAGGTCTTAATCCACTAATCAATCTTGATTACAAATTTACTTTGACAATTGCCAAAGTCTTCTTGAGTATAACCACAACCCGATTTTTCTCAAGGAAATTCACTAAGCAATATATGAATAAAAGTGTACATTAGTGTTTCTAATTAAATAGTATCACATGACAGTGATGTTTTACACAATTTGATTGAAAGATTGAGGATGAGAGATGATAGCAGTGTTGTTGTTTTTGTGAAAATCGTAAACGATTTATCCTCAAGGCTTGTTTAAATAGGCGAAGCATGGATGAACATTTTGGATACTTGATCAATGACAACTAAGGAGCTTTCCAAAAATAAAGATCCTTGTTCCCTTCCAGCCGTTACTCTTGAAATGGAAGTATTTGATTTGTAACGCTTCAGAACATTGAAGTATCCGTTGCTGCTTGCTTCAGAGCTTTGGAGATCAGAGCCATGAAATCTTGTTTGCAGCGTTATAACTTCTTTCAAAGAGTTTTATAATCAGAGTTGAAACATCCTTTTAGCGTATCTTCTGATCTTATTTCATCAGAACTTTTTTAGAGATGTTTACAATCACAGCAGAAACAACTTTGTAATTTATCCTCTGATCTTCTTCCATCAGAACTTCTCTACAAAACAAAATATAATTTTAGGGAGCAAAAATGTTCTTTGCTTTTGTTATCATCTAAACTCTTACAAGGGTTATAGAATCAAACTATGTTCTAACAATCTCCCCCTTTTTGATGATGACAAAAACTATGATATTTCAATCAAAACAGACAAAACATAAAGTATTTTAAGATCTCCCCCTGAGTTAAGTACTCAGATAGAGATGAATTACTTCCCTGAAGTTCATTCTGATCAGAGCTTTTGATGCATCTACTTCTTTCCTTATCAGAGTTTTGTTCCTGTTTTACTTTCAGAGCAAGAAACGAAAAGTTATGATATACAAAATGTTTGAGACTGTGTCTTGATACTGTTATTAGAAATATCTTACGTTCTCCCCCTTTTTGTCAAGAATCAAAAAGCAATAGAAACACGTTTAAGAAATAAAATAAGAGTTGTATTAAAAAGGATTGCAAAAACACATTCAGAAGCAAACAACATAAGAAATTGAATATAGTAAAGAAAATAAGTTTAAAAACTAAGATTGAGGTGGAGGAAGTCGTGTGAACAGGGCTTCCAACAAGTTCTTAATTTTAGTGTTCTATTCCTCATGTTTTCCCAGCATTCCTTTGATTTCTTTGCATGTGTCATCTTTCATGTCTAATCTCTCCGATCACTACATTTCTTTCTTTAGTTCCTCCAGAGTTTGCATAACCAGAGATGAAGAAGGTATATCCCCAGAAGGTGCAACCTTCTCAAAATAAGCTGCAGCAGATTCTGACTCAGTAGCTTCTTCAGTCTCTTTGCCTTTGTCTTGAACAATAACAAGAGGAAGGTTATCAGAGCATGGTTTATCAACTTCTGAAGGTTGGGGATCTTCCCATGGGGCATTATCCAGCAGAAGAATAGGTTTCTTTTCCCAGTGACGCAGAACTTGATCCTTGAAAATATTCAGCTGATCACAGAAGTTTTGTTGGGCCATTTCATAGCTTAACTCCTTGAGTTTCTGGGATTCAGAGTTGAACCACTTTCTGAACTGGTTCCAGTGAGAATTAGAAGCAGCAGGATTCAGATTTTCTAAGCAGGCTAGCTTCAAAGAGTTAACCCATTCAATTATCTCTATTTCAAAAATCAGTAAATTTCTACCAACATCTGCCTTGGTGATAGTTAGTTTTGGTTTTGGGATAACAATTTTGTGAGATCTAGAGGCAAGGTTATCCAACGCTTCTAAGTCTATTACAATTCTTAGGTGATCTTCTGGGGGATTGATAGGAGAGGGAGAGGGAGAATCATAAATGATAATGGGTAAGGGAGTTGTGTTTGATGGAGTGGAATGGTAAGGAGATGGAATTTCTGGAATGTCGTGGATTGAGAGAGGTTGTCAAACTATGAGAGGTTGTTTTATTCCAAGAATTGGTGTAGTGGTATCAGAGTCAATATTTGGATTTTATGGTTGGGGAGCGTGAACATTTGAATTTTTTGAGTTAGGAGCTTGAGAGTTTAGATTTTCTATGTGGGGAGCTTGAAATTCTGGATCAAATTGATCAATATCAGAAAGAACTTGAGCAAGTTCTGGCTGATTTTGGTCAAGATGTGAGGTGGTAGAATGTGGTTTGTTCAGAATGTTTTCTAGTGTGAGTGAAGGGTCAAATTCTATATCAAAATCATCAAAGGTTTGTGGTGAAGGGTCTTCTGTTGGTTTTGGAGAGGAGGGGGTTTCAGATGTTGATAAAATCATTGATTCTACAACAAAAATAAAAGAAGGATTACCTTTCTTCTTAGCAGCTTTTGGTACCTTCTGAGAAGATCCTTCTCCTGCAACTTTCCTTTTTCTGGATTTCTTGAGAACAACTTCTGGATCCAGTTGACGCATATCACAAATGTTTAATTTTGGATTACTCCCATCCATTTTGCATGCTTCTAGATATCTGGCAATTATTTTTGGAGAAGCATCTATTTGAGAGAACAGAGGGAAATCCGTCAGAGGAACTCTTCTTGATGTGATGACTTCTTTGGTTGCAATAGTTGGATCCTTCTTAATGTTGTCAATGATTTTCATCTTCTTCAGATTCTTTGCATTGAGAGATTTTCCAGCACATGCTTCCAGAGTGTTGATCTGCTGAGATTCAGCCAGATATTCTATCAATTTATTTTCAGTCAGAATATCTGATATCAGCTTACCCAGAGGCATCCAGTCCATCTTAGTCCTTTCTTCTTCTCTAGTTTCTTTCACACTTGTCTTCAGATGATTGAATAGCAAATGAGGAAGATTTATCTTTTCCTTTGTTGCAATGAAGTACAACAGAAATTTTTGGTCAATGTTGATATAATCAGGAGAGCTTGTCGGCTTCCTGTGGTTGATGCAGCCCAAAATAATTTTTGCCCAAATTCTGAAGTAGTCCTTCAGATCTTTAATTTTGTTTGATGGCTTCCCATAAGTAAAAATCTCTCTTGAGATTGTTGTTAGGTCAGAACATTTTCTACCATGTCGCTGCAACGGATGCCTCCACCGTTATGACCTATCAACCTTGGAATAAGATCATCAGAAATTGCAATCTTCTTCCTCATCACATACAAAGTAACTTAATGGTTTGATGTAGTGGTGTGAATCCAGAATTCTTTGACCAATTTTTGGAAAACTGGACCCAGAAGACAATCAAAATATTCGGTCCATCCTTGAAATTCCACATCAGGTATAAGATCATAGCCATTTTCCTTCATGCTTTCAAAATCTATAATGAGTTCGCAGAGAACTTCTAGTGAATCAATGGGGGTCAGTAGAGTTCTTGATTGTTCTTCATATCTTTCTACTGTTGACGAAGATGAACCAGGAACACATTGAATGCTTTGAGCGCTTGAAGATGAAGCCATTGTTCACACAAACTATTGAGGGTTTTTGAAAGAAAATTTTGCACACAAAAAATAGAGAGAAAATAGTAGGGAGAAGAAGTGAGAGTGAAAAAGTGAGAGTGAAAGTGAATGGTGTATTTATAAACAAATTGAAAACTTAATTAGCAAGAAAAGAGTGAAAAATAATAATGATTACATAACATTAATGATTCCTGAAAATAGGGAGATGGTGTGGAGATATAGAACAGTTACCAATATAACACGAGTCTCAATGCATCCAATCAAAGCTTTAATCCCTTCAGAATTTGAACGCGTGCCCAGCCTTAGAAGAACGCTTGTGAGAGGATGACAGATGTTGATGATGTGAACTGCATGCTTCTATCTTTGAAATGAACCGTTTGGGCATTGCTCAGATCTTCTTAGATAGGTCCTCATGCAATTGCCCTTCTAACTTTTGAAGAATTATTGATCAGATGTTCACAAAAAATATAAACTTCTGAGGGTTAAAGAATACATAAATAAAACTCTTATTCCGGGCATAATTTCATGTTGAGATATTTCAGAATGAAATTAAACCTATCTTCAGAAAGGGATTTAGTGAAGACATCAGTCTATTGATGGTCTGTGTCAATAAATTTTAAAGAGAGAGTTCCTTTCTGAATATAGTCCCTAATAAAGTGATGTTTTATATCTATATGCTTAACGCTAGAATATAAAATAGGATTTCTAGATAAACAAATTGCAGAAGTGTTATCACAGAGTATGAGAATGTTACTCTCAAATATATTGAAGTCTTCAAGCTGACTTTTCATCTAGAGCATCTGTGTGCTGCATCCAGCTGCTGCTATATATTCAGCTTCAGCGGTTGATAATGCAATTATGGATTGCCTCTTGCTGGACCACAAGATCAGGTTTTATCCCAGAAACTGGCAGCTTCCAGAAGTGTTTTTTTTTCTACTCTGTCTCCAGCGAAGTCAGCATCACAATACCCTAATAATTTGTATTCATTGGTTTTTCTATAAAAGAGATCAAGATTAGTAGTACCTTTCAGATAATTGAAAATTCACTTAACAGCTGTTAAGTGAGATTGTCTAGGATCTGATTGGAATCTAGCACATAGACATACACTATATAGAATATCCGGTCTTGAAGTTGTAAGATATAAGAGAGAACTAATTATACCTCTGTAGATTTTTTGTTCTACCTTTTTACTTACCTCTTCCTTCTCCAGAATGCATGTAAGATGCATTAGAGTTTTGGCCGACTTATATTCTAATAGGTCAAATTTCTTCAGAAGTTCTTTAACATATTTGCTTTGGTGTATGTATGTTCCTTATGGAGTTTGATTGATCTGAATGTTCAGAAAGAATTTGAATTCTCCCGTCAAGCTCATTTAAAATTGATTTTCTGATGTGTAGTTGTAAAAATAGCAATTATTTGCAATTTAGATCTGAAAACAATAACAATTCACTAATAAAAATCAATAACAAACAAAAACTCTAAGAAGAAGAGAGCAAATGGTAAAGAACAAACAAATATCATAAAAAAATGAAGCAAAGAAAGGAAGACGAGATAGAAAAAAATATGGGTAGAAGAAAGCAACATAATGGAAGAGACACATAGAAGAAAGGAAGAGAATGCAAAATGTTATGAAGATATATGTTAGGGTAAAGAGATAATGTTTGATTTATGAGAGTAGTATCAGAAAGTGACTTTTCAAAAAGGTATTTCTTGGGAAGATGTACTTTATTTAGATTCGGATTTCAAAAATTATTTAATCTACAAGTGAAACCAGCATATGCAAGATAAGCATTATATTTTTTTTAGATGGTAAAGTTGCAAACATTAGTCACTAAAAGTTACTCTTTGACACTCATTATGTGAAAATAACGCAAATTACATAGTTCTCGTTGGACAATGTCACGATTTAGTCACTAAAAGTAATATTTAAACACTAATTATCCTTGATTTCAATAGGTGGACTTTTTTAAGCAAAGGTCAAAATAGAATTTATCAAGAACATTTGTTTTCTTATATTATAGATAAATTAAAGTATAAAAGGTGTGAGATGGCTTAATTGATATATGTTTGTTGAATTAAATGAATATAAAATTTTGGTATATAATTTAATTTTTTATAACAACATGTATTTATATTTATATATATAAATAAGTTATTGATATTTATAAATTAATAATTTTTAATTAAAAAAAAAGATAAAAGTAGATAAAATGGGATATGTATTGAATTTCACATTGTCAATCAATTATCTGTCATAAATTTCATCATATCACACTGTAAATTTTAAATTATTAATATGACATAACTGAGTTATTTATTCTTATTGACTTCAGTGCATAACTATTAAACTCATAGAAATATGAAAAATAAATAATTAAATTGTCATTTTTATTCCTTTATTTTAGATTGACCACCCTACTATTATTTCAGTTTCAAATTCAAATCATTTCAATCATCTTTTATAAAATGATTGGTGTGTGTCCATTTTTAATTATATACCATTTTTATTAATGTTTTCTTATGTTTCACAAGAATTTTTGTTTTATGAGAAAAGACTTAATTCATTTCATTTCTAATATATCTTTGAATACATGTCGACATATTAATAAAAATGTGAAAACTAACAAGTGATATGGTCATGCGTGTCAATGTATGAGCAATTTCACTAGCTTGTCTCTTAATAAATTTAATATGGGAGTTCCTAAATTAAATAACTTAGAAGTGTTTAGATTCATAAGTAATAACAACAAAATTTAAAGTGTTTAATAGCTGAATATTCACATTATCCACTACAATTCTAGTGTCCAACTTAAAATGCACTCCATCGAAACCAAGATCATCCATCCATTTGATAGATGTCAGAAGGCCTAAAACTTCCCATGTATCAACCTCGGTAACATGGGATAACCACTCGATCATAGTTACTACATATTGTCCCTTGTCATCTCGAGTGTGAGCATCTATTTCTATCTTGTTACAAGAATTAGAGTATAATGAGTAATGTTGCATTTGAGACATCCATCTGAGTGTTTGCTCCAAGTAATATTTATGGACCTTTTATCTTGGGTTATATTTCTTGATCGTAGTTAGGCATCCCTCTATCCCAATAAGAGGTAAGAAGCAAAATTACAAATAGTGTTTGATGAATCTTCTATGTGGTTCCAAGTACCCCACGAAAAGGTTGAAAATACTATATGTTGTTCTTGATTTAATATTTGTAACATTGGAAAGAAAAACTATTGACGCAAAAGAGACATTATCGTTGAACACGCCAAACACCTACTTTCTCCCAATACTCAATACTATTTGGAAAATGTAAGAATAAATTCCTAACATCTTCAAGTCCTTAACCATATACATCACAATAAATTGGACACTAGACACCTTTGTTATTCAAACACCTTCTAGTTTGCTTGCAACTCCTATATAAATGGCATATAAAAATTTTAATCCTCGGGTAGAGGGTCTTAATTTTCCATGGAAGCTCCCAACACTCACCAATTCGTAGATGTGTTATATTTATATCTTCATCTATGAAATATTGGTAACCTCTAGAGACTGAAAACCTATAATTATTTTCAAACATCCCCACGAGCATGTCATTCTGAAAAACTTCAATTAGGGGAGTATTGAGAACCTTCTTTGCTTCTCCGAACCTAACAAGAGTGTGAATCAGTTTAGTGTTCTAGTATTTAAAATTATTAACCATCAAATCTAAAACCTTCATATTCTGCACTATTGAATCGGTCAACCAAGGGTTTAGTAACAATGTGCTACCATACAAACTATTTTGGCCGCAAGTTGCATATTCCCTCTCGACCGAATACCCACTTGTACCCACCTTGAACAACAAATTTCAAACTCCAAATAATCTACCATACATGATTGGAGTTGTACCCAATAACTGAAGTAATTAAATTAAACATATGAAAAATCATAGCCTTGTAAAGTCAAATGGCTAAGTTATCTAGATTTGTTATAATACTTCAAGCTTGGTTTCCAAGAATAGCATAGTTACAAACACTTAGATTTTTAAAACACATGCCTCGGTGTTTTTTATGCATACATAACCAGTCCAAAGAAATACAATGATCACCCTTACTTGATCTTAACTATGCCTTACAAAAAAGAGAGAATTATTTTCTCAATTTCGTCACTTAAAGAGGTTGGCAAGAAGAAGATATGTGTACCAGTATAATTTTAAATGGCTAAGAGAAGGTGTTAATTCTCTGAATTTTGTGATTGACATTATGTCCGGTAAAACTAATATGGCATAATATGTTAGATAGAATGTGCTAACTTGCTAACAGGAACATGTTGAGCAAGAAG